GCAGCATGGCTGCGCCAGGCAGGGCTTCTCCCCACGGCAGATGGCTAGTCTGTGACAGAGCACCTTAAGGAAAGTTTGAATGTATGACTTCAAAAGGGAGATGACAGGCCAGGAACGTTTCTAGCTCCTGTGGGATGAACCTCATGCTTCCTTTTCCCTGTTTATTTTTCTGCTGTGCTGATCTGCTAGTTCTTGGTCTCCTCCAGGTGGGAAGAGGAGCAGGGAAGAGAGGAGGTGCAGAGGAGTTGAGAAGAGCTGAGAGTGTCTTTAGGCAAAGGAGACAGCAGATTGGGTCACTGATCCTTGAAAAGAACATCTTTTCTGACAGGGCCGTGTTCTAAGGGGTGAAACCCTCTCTTTTCACCCACAGCATGTCAGGGCAGGCAGGGTTCCTCCTAAGGTTAGTGGTTTGGGTATAAACCCCGAGTACCCCTGCAGCAGGAAGAGCAGCAGAGCTCTGGGAGATGTTCTAAACTTCTACCATCTGTCTGAAGAGGGTCTCAACCTAATGTCCTCAGTCTTTTGGTCTGTGGCTGTTCCTGCCTTTAACCAACACCCATCTAGCAAGGCAGTGACCGTGTCTGCGGACACTGGGGTATATAGCTGTTGATAAGGGCCTTTAGGAAGGCTAGTACCAGGCAGCAGAGGGGAGATGGCTTTTGTTTGTGCTGCCACTGGTCACTCTTACCAGCCCCCTTGGCCTCTAAGGAAGCATCACCAGGTAGGCTGTTGGGTAACAAAAATCTTTTAATCATCAGGATCTGTGGGTACAGTCTCAGTCAGGCTGGGTGCTCTCTGCCAAAACACAGTGGCAAAGTGGGCATTGCTTCTGCCTGTGGTGGTCAGTACATCTCAGTGGCCTTTTTGCCACCAGAACTGCGAGACAGTCATGTCATTATCTCCCTGAAGGTCAGCAGCTGGATCACACTCATCTTTGGGCAGCATCTGGAGGTAGCTGCTGACAGCATGAAGGGAACAAGCTGTGGATAAGGAAAGACACTTGGCAGCTGACCAGGAGGGTCTTTGCACCTCTTGCTTGGGGTGGAGGGATCAGCATGATTCTCTGCTCAGGAGAGGTAGGGAAGAGCATGCAGGAGCAGCATGGGCTGTCCTGGATGCCAGGGAGTACCCAAGGCAGGGTGTGTGTTTGCTGACATGGCTCCCCCTGCCTGGGACCTCCCACCTGCTCTGGCAGCAGCGAGTGATGGACTGGAGTCAGGGATGCGTGGGGATTGCTTTGCAGATCTCCTCTGTAAGGCATCCAGACAGCTGCTGCCCACTGCGCTCAGGGGAGCATCTGCTTTGGCAGGCAGGGGAGGAGAAGGGGGCCTTGGGGGTTTCAGCCACTCCCTTACTGAATAACAGTAAGCACAGACAGGACAGGGTGCCCATTTCTCGCTGCGGAGGGATCGTCTTCATTCCCTTTCTCTGTCAGAATTTGTGCTGTGCCTGTCTTGGGGAGAAAGGACGTTAACTGGAATGTAAACTCCTGAAATGGAGCTCCTCGGGTACAGGCAGTTCCTCAAGAAGGATGAAGGCTGATTTATGCCTGTTGGATTTATGCCTGCCACTTTGAGCTTAACATGTCTGATCTTACAGTTACTCTCTTTATCCTGGGATCCCAGTTCCTTGCAGGGCTTCCAGAAGAAATAACTGCCTGTTCTGACCTTACATTTTTGAGGTGCATCTTATCCTTCAGCATTTACATTTGTCTAGCAACATCACATGCCTTTATGGTCAGAGCCACAGAACAAGCAGGGGCTGGAGCTGGAGGAAGAGGAGTTAGATTTGGCTCCTCTTTCTGACTTTTGTTTCCCTGTAGCAAAACTGTTCTTTTAGTGACATAAGAGTCTTACAATGCAGACATTTGCACATGTGGGATGACTGTGAAATGCTGTATAGACCAAAGTTCTGCATTTCAAAGATGCCCAGGTTGATTCAGATTTTGACAATATTACTTGGGTGTGCCAGGGAGTAGGATTTAGTTTGCTGTGCTTTTGTTTCTCTTCACTAGAATTTTCATTTATCTGGTAGCTGTCTGCTGGTACCACTCCGTTATCTTTTTGAATCCCATCTGAAATGAGTCTTTGGGTCCCAGTCTGATTCCTCACACTCATAACCTCACCTTAAAGATGCCAGGTGTCAAAACTGTTGTTTATTGTTGTCTGTGAAAATGCCTCAGGACAGAAAGGAGTGGAGAGAATCAGCATGTGAATTATCCCTCAGGGAAGTGGGTTCACTGAGATAGGACATGGATCTGGGGAAGTGCAGGAGGTTGCACTGCACTTGTCAGATGGGATTGTTCTTTTTGGTGGCATGCTGCCTGCTCCTAGAGGGTCTGTGCCATTTAACTCAGTCTGTGGCTAGACATGTAAAGAGGCCAAGTCTCTGCCTTTCAGAGTTCATGGTTACTTGGGATGTGATGTGAAGTCTTTTGGATCTCTTTTTAGATTACAACTTTCCTGCTGCATCTCAGAAGGCCGTACTGAAAAGGAATGGGACACAGGTGAAAGACAACTGGGAAACAGCAACTGTCCAGCCATCATCAGAATTCGTTGAGCCTGATTTGCACACACCTTTCTCCAGCACTCTGGAGGAAGAGGAGGGGCTGCTTCCTATAGACCACTCAAGAGGAGGAGTGGAGAGCCTCCAGACCTCAGGACCAGAGCTTACATCTTTTGAACCAGTGGGCCAAGAGGACTCCTTCTCCCTTCTGTTTTCCACAGCCTCTGCCAGGCCAGGTATTGTTACCGAGGCAGCCACAGGAGAGCAAGAAGACGACTCTGTTCCTCCAGGCTTAGACCTTGGGAGCAGCATGGGACCGAGTCTTCTGCCTGTGTCCTCTATTTTTTCTACTACTGTTGCTACAAGGTCTCCCAGCATTTCAGAAGAGCCATTTGAGATGACAGCTGGGGACACGTGGGCTGTTGAGGGAGCAGATTTGGGTCTGAGTGTGACAACCACGAGAGCAGAGCTTGCAGAAGCCACAGTGGAACCTGGTGGGGAAGAGCATTCAGCCAGAGAGGAGGTCTCGGAGACCACGCTGGGGTGGGAAATGCTGGAGCCCACAGTGCAAAGTGAAATGGAGCAGACAGTGGAAACACCTGTGGGGACTTTCTCTTCTGGAGGCAGCTTCCCAGGCACCCAAACTCTTTCTGGGAGTGAGCGCCACTCCACTTCTTCTGCATCTCCATGGGGCAGGGTTGACGAGCCTGTGCTGGATCCCATTTGGAATGAGACTGAGTCAGCCACTGAGGCTGTGGCAGCAGAGAGGAGCTTGTCACCGCAGGCTGGGGACGCCCGCGTGGCCATGCTGCCAACAGAGATGCCCTGGGACTCGGCACAGGTAGCAGGGAGTGGGTGGGAAGTTGCAGTGGAGATATTTGGGTACTTCTGTTTTGGGGGCTGTTTAACCCCTTAACCTTACTCACAACCCTAAGTCTGACTGTTGGGAGTAATTTTCCAGTTCACTCAGACAAAACTGAATTTTGTGGAGGTTTTTTAACAGCAATTCTTAAGGGTATCCATCATCCTTGGTGAAAACCCCACCCCCTCACATCTTCCCCAGCAAACTGTTGCACAAAATCCTGCTTCTAATAAACACCTGCCCTCTGGGGCATGCACAGCAGCAAAAGCTCCTTGTTTCCTCAGCCTGCATTATTGAAAATGTCAGGACAAAAACTGCCCTAAGGATTTCTGGAAAGGGAGTGAGAAGGAAGTGCTATTTTTACTGCTGCTGCCTGCAGGGACCAGATGCAGAGCAGGTGGAGCAGGCTACAGCACTCTGTGAGGATGTTGGTCTAAGAGAGCCCATGGGAGAGGAGGTGTGAGGTGAACTGCAGTTTCTGAGCGAACTGGCAGCTGGTTAAGGGAAGATAGGCAGTGGGAGCTGACTGGTCAGAAAGTACCAGGGAAAGCTTTTAATTTTACTTGCTTCCTTATGGTAGTCAGGAACCTGAGCAAGGGATGAAGTCCCTCTGTGTGTCTGATCCTACCTTCAGAGTGCTGCCCTGTCTCACCAGTTTAAGGACCACAGAGGCTCCTGGTTAGGTTTTGGGTTTTGTTAAGTGCGGATCATATGCAGAATAAGGCTACAGGCTAGAGAGCTTTCTGCTGAGTACCTCAGTCATCCTGGAGTCTAGATAAAGGTGGAAGGTAAGCTGGGCTGTGGCAAGCTGGCACAGTAACCTTGTCCATACCCTATGTTCTAGCACTGAAGTGACAGTTCCTCCTTAGGACAGAGAGTTGGAGGCCAGTTACATCCTTTGGGAAGTGGTTCTCATGGGTATGGCACAGCCCCTTGCTCCTGACCCTTAGCAGGAGAGCTGCAGCCGCTGCCTGAGCCCAGCTGTCTTTGTCTTGTCTCTCCAGGTAATCTGCAAAGACTGGAGCAACCTTGCGGGGAAGAACTACATCATCCTGAATATGTCGGATAACATTGACTGTGTAAGTCAGCCCGGAGAGACCTGATGGCACAGGAGCAGTCGTGTCAGAGAAGGAGAGGCAGGCACTGCCCTTGCTGCCTGCTTTCACTGCGAAATGTTTTTAAAGCACTAAATCTCAACTTCCTTATAGAGGCTGTGGAGAGAGGGGGAGGAGGACAGAAATATTCCTGTTCCCCAACAGGGAAAAGAGTGGGTGGAGCAGAGATGATTTTGCACAAAGTCTAGCACATGTCAGTCCCATATTGGATTTTGACTAACTTCTGGCTGCTAGTCTGTGCCAGTCAGTACCTGGATTGTCAAGAGACATGAGAGCTTTTAGCATTGCAGCTCCTGCTGCTAGGAAATGTGGCAGGATTGACATATAGTTCTCCTTCCCTCTCTTCCTTTTCCTCCCCTTCTTCCAGGATACTGTAATGTTCCTCTGATGGCTCAGAGGACTAGAGAGTCCCCATTTGCAGTGTAAATAGTTCATTGTGAAGCAGCTGTCACTAAATCTTCCTTAAGTGCCTCTTCTCCCAACCCTGTTATCTTGTGCGTTATCTGGGCCTGTTAACCAGCCAGGCTCTGCTAATCCGATGCCTGTCCATCCATCCCCATAAAGCTGCAGTTAATTCATGAGCCCAGAGCCCCTGGTGGATCTCTGGTGAAGGGCTCGTTCACCTCTGCTGGGCCTTTTATCAGGCACTTTAAAACCAGTTGTGAAAGGCCTGGGGTCAAGGTGCCTTTCATAATTCTAAGAAATGATTATGAGCTTGACAGCCCAAGACCAAAATGTTTCATTGGGGAACTGTTCTGGCTGCACATGTCTGCACTTTTGCTTTTTGTGGCTCTTGCTCCAGGCAGAGCTGGCTGGTTCTGTTACTGTAGGGTGGCTCTGTGGCACTGACCTATTTCCACTACTAGTGGGTAGTTGAGGTGTTTTTATTTTTTCATTTTTTTTTAAGGTGAACTTTTTGGGGACAGGATTCCTGTACACAACAAAGCATATTGATTGATTTATGAGTGGAAGAAAAGTCAGTCTCTTTCCTCCTGATTTAGGCAGACTAGTTTTTTATTTGCAGGATTTTAAGTATCTCTGCAACAGTTCACAATTGCAGCTCAGAAAATCAGTCCTTGAAAACCAGAGTCCTGCTGCCCTGTTTCCTCCATGTCCTAATCCCCATTGCTCTTTCTGCCATCTCTGTGGAGTTTAAACACTGGCTAATTTAGTAATGTGCAGTAGCTTCCTTTCTGTGGTCACTTGCACTTGTTTAAACCACAGGAAGGGCAAAAATTGGAAAGCCCAAAAGGATGGATGTCTCTTGACCAAGCTGTGTCTTTACTGTCGAATCCTCAGTTCTGCCTTGCTGAAAGAAGCCAGTGCCCTGGGTTAGGCAGGACTGAACTGTTTTTCTACTTGATTTCATGTTTCAAAACGTATTTCCCAGTGAATGGTTTGTGCTGTCCTCCCCCTTATTCAAAGGGACACTTGTCAACATACATATTTAACGTGAACATCGCTTCGTTGCCTGCCTCGTGTTACCACTTTGCATGGCTGAAGCTGGAATAAAGCTCTGCTCCTTCCCGCTGACGTTGATGCAGTTTGTTTCCTAACTATTTAATTTGCCCAGTTTTGGCAACTCATCTACTCTCTACCCTGTGCCTGTCCCTTTTGTTTTCTGGTTTCTGGATCTGAGCCCTGAGGTGTTTGGGTGTGCAGGGTTGTGAGGGATAACCTGCGTTGCAAGTGTATTTTGAATTATTGTGAACGGGGGAATCCCCATATATTTCCTATGTTTTGATGCCCTGATCTGGTGTGGTACCAAGTCCCACTGAAAAGTCAAGGACGCTTAGCCCCTTCCAGAGGGTTGCACCTTGAGCTTTAATATTCTCCGTGGTGCCAGGCTTTTACCCACTGCAGGGGTGATGTCTGTATTGCTGGAATAAGCTGGCAGCCTGCACACTTTCTGAATGTGCTCTGGGCAAGGGAGTCACTTCATTCTTTCTCTGGGCACATCTCCCACTCAGTATACCTGGGAACTTTGCACGAGTGAGGACTGCAGACTCTGATCCAACAGTGCTACCTGGCTACACAGTGGGAGGTGACCTCCCCCTCAGCTCATGTGCCTTCAGGCTCCTTCATAGCTCCCTTTTCTGCACTTGTCAATGCTCTGCAGCCCCTGCTTTCCCCATGGCAAGAAGCATCTCGACTCCATCCTCTTCCTGCTCTGCTCCCCCTTCCTCTGCACGTGAGCTGGAGCAGCAGGGCACCGTGTCCTCCTGCCTCCCGGTGCCCAGTCCTGTAAGCTGATGAGAGGAGGCACTGCCAGGCCTTTGTGACTCAAGCCCCAGTCATCAGTGTCTTTTCCAATTAGGCCATTTTCGGCACAGGCCTGTGCCTGCCCTGAGCGCTTCAAATTGCCATGGCAACAAGAGCTCTCCATTTTATTAATCATCTGTGTGGCCTTCAGGTTGGCATGGCAACCAGAGATAAGAATAGAAACACAGGAGTGAGAGAGCAGCAGTGGAGCCCGCCGAGGGATGGCTGGAGCATGTCAGGCTGAGCAGCACCCGCTGACCCGGCGCTGGCCGCGGGGAAGAGCCTGGCTGCTTCCTGCTGGCCTTACACAACAGTGTCTCTTCAGGATCCCTGTGGGCTGGAGGAGCTGGGCTTGGCATGGTGTAGGGTGTATGGCGGCTGCAGGAGCCCAGGAGGAGGGTTGGTGGGTCTGGGGGTGCAGCTTGGAGCACTGGGTATGTGCAGGGGGGTGCTGCAGCAGGTTTAGCCTTGCTGGCTTTTGGGCACGCCTGGTTCAGGTGTCCTGGCCATGTGGCTGTGCCAGCCCTGCAGTGCTACATCTGCCCTGTTCCCACCATGTGCTCACCAAGGTCCCTTTCCTGTGGCAGGAGGAGTTTCGGCTGGAGAGAGGTCCCCAGCTGTTGGCACTGGTGGAGGATGCCTTCTCCAGACAGGCGGATGGACTGCAGGACCGCTGGCTGATCTCTCTGAGCAAGCCCAATGAGAACGACAAGCACTTGCTAATGACACTGGCAGGGGAGCAGGGTAAGTGCTGGGAGAAGGAGCCTTCCCATCGTAGGGGGATGTATTTAAGGGGCTCTTGAGTGGAGGTGTGCAGCCATGTTGGAAGGAGCTTTTCCTCTCCATTTCAATCCCACCAATTCCCAGTGTTAACTGGACTTGAGGGATGGGGGGTCTGAGGGCAGAAGACTTTTTGTTCACATCTGCCTTCTGGCTTGTCCCTTATCGCTTGCACAAAGCTCCATCTTCTCTGCTTTGCCCCCTGCTTTGGTTCCTCCCTGGATTGCCTTTGCTTGAGCATCCACCAACTTTCTCCTGATGTTTAGATACTCTCCTCTGTGGGCAGGCCACTGCAATGGCAGGTCATGACAGCCTGCTCTTAGTTCACTTCTTAACAGGTTTTGCCTGAACTGGGCCACTTCTGATGGTGCCTCCCCTGCATCCCCAAAGAAACATAAGCTGACAGTGAAAGGTGGGCTAGGCTGGAATATTTGACCATCTCTTTAATACCTTTCTAACAGGGGGATGCTTTTTCTGTTCTGCTTGTGCTGCCTGCTTAGTGATGGAAGCTTCTAATATTGACATTATGGCCTATATGAAAAAACAAAATAATGCCAACAGCATTCTTAAATGCCCCCTCAAGGATAGGAAGGTAGAACTAGCATGTTAAGTGGAATTTGCTGTATCAATGCCTTAAATAATTTCATCTCACCTAAGCCCTTGGGCTGGACCATGTGCCAATGAAAAGGCTTTGGTGAGCATTTGGTCTTTTTAGCTAAAACCTTTATGCCATCATGAGAGGGAGAAGACAGGAGGAGAAAACAGGTCTGTACTCCAGCAGTACATCCAGGCTGGGAGATAGCCCTGAATTCAGAAACTTCAGGAACAGCACTATTTTCTACTCTGAGGAATCATGCTTTTGTTCAGTTCCTCATTTTACTGCTGTGCAGGTGAAGGGAGAAGTGGGCCTCAGCCTGTAAATCCTCCCTGACTGCTCCTGCTTTCCAGGCTGGGAGAGCATCCTAGGAGTTTAGGGAAGGAAGACCCCAGGAGGAGGTCACTCAGCATGGGCTGGTTGCTCCCTGGCTGAGAATGTCTTGAGTGCTGCATCTCAGAATCAAGTTGTGCTGGATGGGGAGGCTGGGTTGGGCAGCATAGGTACCTCCATGACCTTTTTGATGTTGCTGCTTGCTCCCAGAGCAGACATAGATCCTAAGGGCTGCTGTGGGATGGGCACTGAGGTGCCTCCAGAGTAAGTGCCTGGGTTTTTTTTACCCTCTTTAAAGAAAATTTGGAGCTACCCCTGGTTGTGGTCCGTGCGTTCTTTCAGTCTCCTAACTTAAAGCACCAATGAAAAAATTGTGCGCTGTCCTTCCTCCATTCTGTTGGGGCTTTCACAGTATTGAGCACATCAGACTGAGTTAACGTGAGCTGAGAGCAGCACTCATCTCTCCCTCTCCTTCTTTACAGGCGTCATCCCTACGAAAGATGTTCTCATGGCACTGGGGGATGTTAAGAGGAGCTTAGCTGAGGTAAGAGCCTGTCTGCATCCATTTGTTAAGAGTAGCTATACAATTAAAATAAGCACCTTGAAAACTGGGAGCATATCTCTGTCTAACTGAGTGCTGCACCTTCAGCAGGCAAACAGATGAGTCAGATGCTTGGCAAATACTCTTCTCCCCTCTCTGGTAGTTGCCAGGCCATCAAATGTCTGCTCCCTTTAAGAGAATAACTATGGGTTATTCCCTCCCTGCTTTTCTGGCTTGATTGTAAAGCTGCTTTCTGCACATTCATTTTGCTGAAATACTTGGTCTCATCCCTTCTACGCTGTTGCCTGTGGTGTTGTGGGTGCTGCAGAGCCCCAGATTTGGCCCTGCTCACCCTACAGCTGATTCACATACATTGGCTGCTCTCAGTAGCTCAGACTTTGCTGAAGGAGGTGGGAGAGATGCCTGTACTAGATGGGACATGTTCACACGCCTTCCTCCTGCAATCCCAGGGTCTGCTTTACAGTCCTTTAGACAACTGCCTACACAAGGGCAGGCAGAGGACCAGAAGCGATGGATGCCAGACTCTAGCCCTCACGTATTCGCTTCTAGCCCTGGGCAGCTTGGGAGAGGTTAAAATGAGGAAAAATTAGTCCCATGGTCTCTGACTTTGCCCCTTAAGCCTACAACATATGTAAGCACTGATTCTGCTCAGAGATTTTTCACTGCTGGAGTAATTCTGCTGTTTTGAGCAGCAGAGTTGGGCCACTGCCTTGCTGGCTGGCTGCTCTCAGGTTTTTACCTGACCTAACAAACCGGTGCAGTTAGACAAAGCAAATTAAGTGCTCAGTGCCATATTGATTGGCTTACACCAGAGAAAGTGCAAAAAGCCAACCCTGTAGAAATTGCGTGACTAAAGGGGCAGCAGCTGGAACTGTCCAGAAAGGAGGATTTGGGTGGGTGGAAGGTTTGACTTTGCAGCCGTGATCCTGTGCTAACGTGCATGCTGCCAGAGCAGCTTCAGCGTGCCGCCGACTCCAGCGCTATCAATAATGGAACGCTGCTCGTCGTGCTGACCTTGCACTAGCACGAGATGGGGAGGAGGAGGAGGAGGAGGAGGAGGAGGAGGGGGGTCTTCTCTTACACCCATCACACTGGCTATTCACTCAGTGTGTAACCTGTTTGAATTCTGCCGAGTCACTGGCACTGATGTTGGGCTTTGTTTGCTGACAGCCACAGAGGGGCCATTTCTAGGGCTGCTATTCCTAAGCTTTTTGAATCAGCAGGCAGCTATCTACCTTGCAGACCTCAGAAAGACAACTGTGTCATCCTAGGAGCAGAGCTTTAATGGACAGCTTTTTATTATGGTTATATTCTCTGTCAAACAGTCACCACAAACTCGGCACCCATCAGTGGTCCATAGTTCGTCTTGGGAACTCTTAATCTTGGGCGTTTTCTCCTCGTTGTCTTGCATATAGTTGTGATCCTTGTTCAGGTGATGAAGATAAGGTTGTGCCTACTGTCACTTGCTGACATGTCAGCTTTTGTGGAAGATGGTGTTATATTTAGTTACGTGCCTTCTAGTCATGTAAGATGGTGTATGTCCTGACTCCTCAATCCTGGTTTTTAGTTCCTCTGCCCACAGTGGTGGTTCTGTACTTAGACCCTGGAAAATAGGAACAGGATCCTACCTGCCTGCGGTCCAGAGATTCAGTGTACCCCTTTCTTCCCTCTAGATTGGCATCCAGAATTACTCGACCACCACAAGCTGCCAGTCACACCCCAACCAGACACGCAGTGATTACGGGAAACTCTTTGTGGTACTGGTGATCATCGGCTCCATCTGCGCCATCATCATCGTATTGGGGCTCATATACAACTGCTGGCAGAGGCGCCTGCCCAAGATGAAGAACATGGTGAGCACTGGATGGGTGGAGAAGGTGTCTAGACTCTTAGCCATTGGGATGGAGGGGATTGGAAATTTAAGAGGGAGATGATTTTCCCCTGTCCCCGTATGGGATGTAGCTGGATGCACCGCTGGAGCAGTGAGGGAGCCCATTTGGGTGTAAGAGGGATGCAGAGCTGTCTCTTGATATGCTCAGGACAGCTCCTCTCCACTGTGAGAGCTGGGTGAGGAGTAAATTTACTTTTTTTACCTTGCAGAGTCCTTAGTGACTCTCATAGCCTGGTCTGGTTGTACCTTTCAGCAGCATTAAGACTGGTCCTTCTTTGTCTCTATCTGTGTTCTTCTCGTCCTTTGCAGTCTCACGGTGAGGAGCTGCGCTTTGTTGAGAACGGCTGCCATGACAACCCCACCTTGGATGTGGCCAGTGACAGCCAGTCCGAAATGCAGGAGAAGAAGCCAAGCGTGAATGGTGGAAACACCATCAATGGCCCTGACAGCTGGGATGTCCTGATCAACAAGCAGGCGAGCGAGGATGTGGATGTGTTTGAAGAAGACACACATCTTTAGAAAAAGAAGGGAGGGAACCACCCCCTTAAATACACTGTCTCTCTCCCATCTTGACAGTTGGACCACGGGATCAGGTGGCTTCTCAGGAACTTCTTAAAGGCTTGGAACAGGTCAAGTCTTTGGTCGAGTTTTCCCAATGGAAGTCCTGAGTCCACATCTGAGACTTGGAGCCAGGAGGACCACTGAACAGAGGGAAGCGGGAGGGGTGGGTTTGTAGGTCTCTGTGTGTGTGTTCCTATCAGTAGCACCAATGCTTTCATCACTTTTAAATGCACTTACTGTAGCTCCCTGCTAGCAGCTGAGTGGCTGGGCTTGAGAAGCAAGACACTGAGGCTGAGTCTGCCACCAAGAGGCCAGCACTGGGGAGTAAATTCACTTTGGGAGTCCAGCTGGAGTTATACCAGCCAGATCTTGACCTTGAGATTATGTTGGGTCCCTGCAGGTGCTGTAAAACCTGTGCATTCTGGATGGAGGGAAGCCAAGACACAGCGTCCTGGGCAAAGTTTGCATTCCACATGTGAAAGGAGGTTTTCTAGTGCTCTAGCACTCAGCTGCATATTAGATGGGCTGGTGTTTACATTTGGGGAAAACTGTCTCATGGTTTCGCACCACAAACAGCCCCACTCCCTTTTTCAACTCCAAGCTGAGTTTGCAAAGTTTGAGCACTTTACCCTTGCTTGACTGATTGCAGAGAATTTGGTGCCATGGTGCAGTACCTTAGCTAGAAATTTGCTTTAGGTTGGAGAGTTGCTCAAAAAAGACATTTACAAATCAGCTGCAGAGTACCCCTTGTCTCTCAGTTTTATACTGGCAGGCCTTCTCCACTCCTGTTTTCCATGATAGTTTGGTTTCAGTTGGTCTTTTTGAGGTAAGTGTAAAGACTTTGTGAGACTTCTTAAACAGGGACAAAAGTGAAAACTCAGAAGCAGATAATTTTCTGCTCTTTTCGTTTCCTTTTCAGCATTTTGAGGAAGGAGGAAGTGGTGTAAATTGGGGTAACATCTTTAAAATGATTGCATTTAAGCAAGTACAAAAGGTGGTTCAGATGAGATGAGAATCAGATCTAAGAGCTCCCCAATGATTGTTTCTCAGGCATGCCTCTGGCATCTTTGAGGCTCCAGCTCACTGAAGAAGTGTGATAGAAGGCACGTGAATATGCGCAATTGCTCTCTGAGCCCTGCCTAAACCTGAGACTCAGAACTAGTCAAGCCTAAAATCCCAGAACATTTGTTTCTTCTGTCATCAAGGGATTGAAGGACTTGCTTTTGTCAGAGGCAGCAGTGCTCCTCTCTGTTACAGTGATCTGCATGCTTGCTTACTGCAAGATGCAGCTCTGCATTTGGTCTTTAAGGGAACCTTTGTACAGAAGACCCCAGACATGCAGCCTGATGCCAAGCCTGCAAATCTATCCCTGTATGTATAGGTATTTTTAGCATGTTCACCCCTGACGTGAGTGCCTAAAGTCAAGGTGCAGAGTCTGGTGTTTCATTTTGCATAGCGCTTTGCATACAAACTGAAGAACAGATCACCTCGATGTAGGACCACGTTGAGATCAGCCTGTTAGGGATTCAAGGAAGACAATAGCTTTCGGTTTCCTACCCAGATTCCAGTTTCCAGTGCTTTTATCCCGCCTCCATACCTTTTGGTGTGTTATGTAGGAGGTGGTGATCATCATCAGCTCCTTTTGTATCTTGTTGGTAGAGTTGCAGAGATGCTCAGAGGAATTCCCTCTCCTGCCCCAGCAGTTGATAGTGGGGACAGTCCATGTACACAGCCAGCCAGATATGGT